AAAAAAAAAAAAAAAAAGAAAAAAAAGAAAGAAGAAAGAAAGAAAAAGAGAGAGAGAGAAAGAAAAAGAAAGAAAGAAAGCTCACCCAGATGAAACTCCTTTTTATGAAATATTCTCAGAGAATCTAGAAGATAATGTCTCAGAGATTTAAAAATTCCTAGCATTACAGGCTGAAGAAATCATGATGTGGTGATAAACCTTAGTGACAGCTGTGCAAGAAAAATTAAATGAAATAAAAACCAAAATGGAGGAAGACATGTATCTAGAATATAAAAAGAACTCTTTCACATCAATAATAAAAAATCAATCCAATTAAAATTTGGGCAAGAAAAAAGCAGAAGCCATAGAGCAATTATTCCATGGCATTCCTGTTTACAATTCAGCATTTCTTAAGGGGGGAAGCCATGTTTGATACAGAACTCTTAGAAATCAAAAAGATCCAAATGAAAGAATAAGCAGGAAAAAATAAGTGGGAAACAGCTACTTGAAACAGATCTAAATCTTGACACATCCGATATCCAGTTCTTGGGAGGATGCTGGAAACAATGTGGAGTTAATTGAGTCTTTGTTCCAGGAAATGGATGACCTGGAGCTGGGGGATCAGGAGATGATCCAGACTCCAATCCTGCTGACCCAGAAAGTGACTCCACTGACCAGAGGACTGTCCCCATCTGCAGGGAGTCTCAGCTCCCACAGCATCATGGCTATGCTCGGAGGGTTTTGATTTTCCTTTCCTTTTCTCCAAGAAGAAATAACTTTCAGGAGAATATTCTTCTGTTAGATTTAATCATTCAACTTAATAAACTTACCTTAAAATTTTTAAAAAGTCAATTGTATTCCTATATATCAATAACAATTAGAAATGGAAATTTAGTAAAGAATTATTTACAATAGAATCTCAATATACTAAGTACATAGGAATACATCAGACAAAAATATGAAAGACCTATACAGTGAAAACTAAAAAAAAATGCTGAGGGAAATGAAGACCTAAATAAATGGAGAGTTATATTTTGTTCATAGATTTTGAAGATTTAATATTATAAGATGTCAGTTCTCAAATTGACCTATATAGATACAATGCCATCCCCGACAATATCTCAACAGGTGTTTTTGTAAAATTTGACAAGGTGATTCTGAAATTCCCATGGACATGCAAAGGACCTAGAATAGAGAAAATCGTTTTGAAAAAGAACAAAGTTAGAAGCCTCATACTGTCTGATTACCTGACTTACTATAAAGCTGCAATAATCAAGACAATGTGGTATTGGCATCCAGATAGACCACAACTGATTTTTACAAAGCTGCCAAGGCAATTCAGTATAGAAAGGATAGTCTTTCCGATAAATGATGCAGGGGGAGTTTGGATATTCACACGCAAAAACATGAATTCAGACACTACCGTAGACAAAAAAATAACTCAAAATGTATCTAAATATAAGAGCTAAAACTATAAAACTATTATAAGAAAACATTAGAGAAAGTCTTTGTGACATTGAATTAGGCAAAGATTTTTAGATGCAATACAAAAAGCACAATTGGGCTGGGTGCAGTGGCTCATGCCTGTAATCCAGCGCTTTGGGAGGCCGAGGCAGGTGAATCACCTGAGGTCGGGAGTGCGAGACCAGCCTGGCCAACATGGCGAAACCCCGTCCCTACTAAAAATACAAAAATTAGCTGGGCATGATGGCAGGCACCTGTAATCCCAGCTACCTACCCTGGAGGCTAAGGCAGGAGAATCACTTGAACCCAGGAGGTGGAGGTTGCAGTGAGCCAAGATCATGTCACTGCACTCTAGCCTAGACAACAGAGTGAGATTCTGTCTTAAAAAAAAAAAAAGAAGAAGAAAGAAAGAAAGAAAAAGAAATTCTCAGAGAATGGAAAGATTTTAAATGATCATGGTGTTAACTGGAAAGGTTAATGTTACGGGCCAAATCTGATAGAAGCAACTTTGGAAATAGTATCCTGCCATTAGGTCTTGAATGCACAGGTATCCATGCTTGTAATTCAACAGCGTTTTCCCCAAAAGGTTTGCCTCTTGATTTTTTTGTTTTCCCCAGAATGTTCAGTGTTATGGTAAAGATTTATTTTTTTAGAAACCACACACATATAAAACAGCTTTTGACTCCTGTTTATAAAGACATATTTGTGTATATTATATATTTGTGTACATTATATTTATATATACACATATATATACTTTACATTATATATATACATATATATACTTTATATTATATATACACATATATATGTATATATGCTTTATATTATATATGTACATATACATATATATATGTACATATATAATATAAAGTGGCCATGTAGCCTCTCCACACATATACATATGCTCTGGTTAACTGGAGAGTTTTGGAACTTAAGTATTAAATTACTATTTTTTTTTTAATAGAAAAAGACATAGTAACGTGTTAAAAATTGGGGTAAGGTATTGGGCTTAGCACAAAATTAGCTCATTTGACCAAACATTTTTTCAAGGATTGAACAATCTCAGTCAATAAATGCAAGGCCATAACTATAAGCAAACAGCAACCCTCTGCCACACACATACACGCCTTTTACTAAATGTGATATGTGTCATGAAAATAAAGTTAGATTATCTGATGAGGAGAGTTGATGGTGAAGACTGGGAGTTGCTTAAAAATGTTAGCTCATTATGAAAATCATAGCATAAATGTACGTCATATTTTAAAACTTATTAATGACCTTCCTTCACCAAGGATGTCCCCCCGCCACCACGCCATCAAGCCTTATTTCATTGGTTAGGTTTACTCATGTCGCCTTGTGTGCTTATGGAATGTAATCCTCCCCGGGTAATCTTTCCAGTTTATTGCTAGCATAAATCCACAGCCTAAAGTCTTAGCATGCATTTATACTGGTTATAGATCGTCCGTACTACAAAAATGCCCTAAAGCTGACAACACAACTCTCCAAATAGAAAGAAAGCAGTGTAACGATATTAATCATGCACATTACATGCCTCTGTGTGCCAGGCACTGTGGTTAATATTTCAAATATCTTAACCCCCCATAAATCTTTTTTTCCCCATTTATTTATTTATTTTATTGCATTTTAGGTTTTGGGGTACATGTGAAGAACATGCAAGATTGTTGCATAGATACACACGTGGCAGTGTGATTTGCTGCCTTCCTCCCCATTACCTACATCTGGCAT